CATGGATGATAAATGTTTCAGTAATAAGCCAAATAAGACAGACAAACAGGGTCTTACTCTGGTTGTTTCATTTCCAAGAACAGTGGGGGGGAAAGGACAGATTCTTGGCTGTGTGTATATTATGGTCATTGGATTATGTGTATAGTTGACGTGAATGAATGATTGATAGTGCTCAGCTTTCAGCTCTCGGGGGGTATTAAAATAACAGGTCTGGTAGTGGAGGAGCCTCCAAAGACACTGAGCCCAGGGGATCCTTTAATTTGTCCTTGTCTGAACCACCGGCTGTCTCCTGTGAATTTTCCAAAAATAGCAACAAGAGTTAACGTTGGGGAGGGGGAGACATTAGATCACTCAACCTGCTAACACACTGAGCTCCTCTGTGATTATTGTACTGCAGCTAATTGCTAAGCAGAAGATGGTGGATGATATCCTCAATGTCCTTGTATTAAGTTGTATCCGTCTCTGCAAATGTGGAGCCATGATTTTGTGATGGGTATCAACTCAGTTCTGTTCGGGTTTAAGCTCAGAAGGGCCATAACCCCATTGAATTTGTTCCGGTTTGTTGTTATTTGTTGCCTGTCAAAGCGGCTCTAATTCCTGTGAGCTGGAAAAGATGAAACAGAAACTAGAAACATGAGACTCGGCCCAATAACTGGAAATGATGTGCAAGTGTTTACCCAGAAATGTGACTTCAATTGGCCACATGGTGGCAGTGTAATTAACGCCCAAAAATGCAATTCTGGAGAAGCCACACCCCTCACACTGTTAGTTCGACTAACTTGAAAATGAACGCACACGTCCAGCTCATGGTGCTCTACAAAAAAGCCTCTTGGACCGTATTAGCCTACCACACTAGATTTCCCACCATTTTGAGTTTTTCAAAAGCTTGTTGATATCTTACATTACAGTCATTTAGCAGACGCTTTTATCCAAAGCAACTTCATTCATACACTGTAGATTGAAGGACGGCCCTGCTCTCCACTTAGCCACGGTCACCCACTCTTAATTAGTTTTCAAGATATTGGCCAATGACTTGGCTCAGCACATATCAAAGATAACAACCGTTGCAGGACTTGTCCACAGGAGTACCTGGAAGTTTCATTCAAATCGCTCGCTAGGGGTCGCTGAAATGCAATACATAAGTGTGTAACCACGCAAATCAGAATACTAATTAGAAATTGTTTGTCCAATCAATGCAAAACTGGCAGGATATGTTTTATGACATGGTTGAATCGCTCGATCAGTTCAAAACATGCAAATCATTGCAGTTGGTCCAAACGCCACCAAACTTGTTGGATATTTTTGATTATACTGTTCAAACATTTACCTAAATGCCAAGAACTTTGACTGTTGGTACTTTCAGTGTGCAATCACCGACAGGCTGAACACACGGTCATGATGAAACCAGTGTGTGATTGGTCTCACTCCTCATTGAGACTTTCTGAAGCCCAAAACCTGCTCGCTGCTGCCTGTGGCTTTTATTTTGGCAATTGAGCTGCTTCCTTCTGTTGAGAGAAAAAAGGGCTTGAATCCGGAATGGCCACTTGCGGCTATATTTTTATTTTATTATTATTTTTTTAGTATCAACAGAGCAAACAACATGGGCCAAGGAATGATTCCCCAGTTCCACATGCTCCCGAACAGCATATATGAAATATAACAAAGCACAAAAGAGATGGAAAACAAATGAATAAAGATGAGAGAAGGCTATCGGTGTAGCAACACAACCACTTTACAATACGCTACATCCAGCCTGTTCTCACTCCCAGGGAGTATAATACAGACGCGCAGAGAAAAAGTGTGATGATGTATTATAAAGACACAAAAATCCCACAAAAGGTTGGACGGTGGGAGCGGAGGTAGAGGGGTCAAACTAACTTTTTAAGTAACGGGGTTTCCATACTTATCTTGCATTGTTTACGTTTTGCTTAATTTCCATACTTATTTCAAGCCCAAGCAAGTGTTTCTGTTGTCTGTTGTTCCCAAGGTTACATATTACAGTTTTATTTCGAGCAACATATTTTAGTTAATGTGATGAAAAACGGTGGTGGACTGTGACAGAATTGTGTGGGCAGCAAAAAGAAAGGAGTAAATGTTCTACTCTGTGCTGTATAATCTGAGGTACAGTATGTGATTAGCAGTTGCAGGAGGCTGTCCAGCAAAGCTACTCATATGTTTTACTGTTTATATATTTTATTTACAGACCGGCCTTTGTCAACAGTGGACTATGAGCTCCTGCAGCACTCTCTGTGAGGCAGGATGTCACTATGTAGGCTTCCTTTATTGAGCCATTGCTCTGGATGTTGACTGTAGTATTCAGAGGTGTTTCCTTTAGCCTCAGCAGTTCTACCCACACTGCAGGGTCAGCGTGATATAACTCAGAGACCCGCGGTGACTTCAAGGGTAAGGAAATATTTGTCCTCAATAATCAGATCCAATAAATGATGCCTTTCCTCTCAGTCTCGGGAGTTTTGATGAGTTTCACAAAGACAGCCAGGGACTGATTTCAAACTGCTGATGTCGAAAATGAAAGATTCCATTATCTCTGCTTTATGGCCATGTGCCTAGTGGTGACATTTCTGATCATAAGCCTTTTTGTCAGGCATTCTGGTCCTCTTTATCATACTTCTCTGACTTGAAAAAGAAGCACCTTTGTGTGGGAGGAGGCTGCTAGAACAGTGGTCATGGTGCAGTTATGCAGCTGTTACCCTTTGTTTGTTATAATGAGCAGTTTATAGGCGATCGGGTGGGGAAAAGAATCCAGACTGTGTCTAAGAGCCTTATGATATACCTGTTTCTGTGTCAGTTGGCCTCAAATTATGGGTCCTAGTCATTTCACGGGATACCTAAGGGCCTGTTCCGTTGGGTATTGAATAATATGGCAGACAGGGAGGAATCTCTCACCCCACCTTCCCCCGTTGAACCTAAAATAAATCCCCCCCGCCAATGCCATATCGTGGCGAGTCATGTGTGGGACTCAGTAGGCCGTGTTATTTATTTATTTCCCAGGTGTTGCTTTTCTGTGAGAGATTTATGTGTTATTGTGTATGATCTGCTGCTGGGATCCATGACAGAGGTTGCGCAGGGTTTTTGGAAGACGGCCCGGGCTGAAAGGAAGCTGTGAATTCAGAATAATGTGGCGTCTCTCGGCTCCATCCACCAGCATTTACGTTTTTTTAAATTTATTTTTATTTGAACCTACAGTAGCAAGTGAGGAACGGTTCTCCTATGACAAGTGATTCATGTAAGTGAGAGATTGTGTGACGACCAGCAAGTAATGAGCAAGGAATTATTCAGCTGTATCAAGTGTGTATGCTTAGCTTGAAGCTCTTGCTGTCACTTGGAGTATCTGATTACACAGGAGAGTAAAAAGAGCAAATCATTCTGGTCATGAATTTCTTGTTGTGAAAAGAAAATTCTTCATTTCTATAACAAGCTGTGTTGGTGTTTGCTGGGGTTTGTGGTAATTTATTTTTCCATAACTATAGATTTTAAACTTAGATCAGGTTTACATGTGATCAACCATGTCTTCATGCGTATGTCTGAATAAAATATAATATAAATAAAATTAAACTACCGGCTGAATGTAAAAGGTTTCTGAAAAACTTTTCAATGAACCTATCTATTATTAATTCAAACGGAACTTTGAATTCACTGCATCTTCTTCAAGTGTTCTGCAGGGCCTTTGTGTAGCTTATTAACCTCAATACATCAATCTCAAATTAGCTCTCATATAATAGTGCCTGTTGAAGAGTGAAATTGGTTTATTCTTTGCATCACTCTCGGTGGTTGTTTATTTTGACAGTCCCAGTGTACAGTGTAGTTGTTAAATCAGTTGTTTAGTGTAGCTGGTGAGGAACAGAGTTAGAAGTAAAGCAGGGCCGTTTCACTCGTTAACTTCCTGAAAAACACACATTTTCCTGGCAATAAAAGAAGAAAACTCTCCTCACAAAAGTGGATTCTGGTTCTATTATTAAGGTCACATGTTGACACGTAATATTTTTGTTTTCCGCGTCCGCTCACTGCTATCTGCAGAAGAGCAGGTCTTAGGGGTCCTTAATTGTCAATTATAAACAATTAGAAGAGCCAAGGGGTCATCAAACTAATCAGATATATGGGCATTATGGGAAATGTATGGCCTTGAGTCTATTTCATGAGCAGGGTAACACATTCAGATACACTGTATTTTAAACGCCTCCCAGAAGAGTTTTTGCTGTCCTGGAGTCAGTAAACAATGTTTGATTAAATGAAAGATACATTTTTCAGTTTTTAGATTTGTGTCAGACAGTGAAACGGAACCCATGGTGACTCGTAACTCTTATGATCATGGCGATTAAACAGTCTTAAAAAGTAATTAAAGTCAACTATAGAGCCACCAAATGCCACATTTGTGAGGTCATCTTTCAGCTCCTGAGCTTTCATTTGGACTGAGCCTGTCTACAGGTCCCTTGATGTCTTCTTTGTGCCCAGATACTCGGCGGTGATTACAATATGTCTCTCACAGTAAAGAAGAAAACATTCATTCTGGCTGTAGTTCATGCAAACATTCTGTCGAGTGGTATTTGCCTCTCTGGAAGCTCAGTGATAAATGACGAGAACACCGCCACTGTGCCGTTCAATAGAATTCAGTTTTTCAAAGAGAAAAACAGGATTTGACAAATGTGCCCTGTATAATTTCCTCCTTTAATAATTGGATGGACTACATGGATATGTAAATTGGAGATACAGGGGCATACCTCTGGTCAAAAGACCTATCTCTTTAAACGAGCTTTCCCTAAATTTGGTTGATTGAAATGAATAGAGTTTTTTTTCCTCTTCTATTCATCCCAGGGACTGTTCTGAGTAGATATTAGTTCTCTCCCCTATTGCTCTACCCTTTAACAATAGTGCTTTCAATCCAGTTTAAAACACCTCCTTTTTCCCAAGGGTGCCATTAAAGAGTGAATTCTCCCAGCCAGTAGGCAGACATTTAATAGGGAAATCTCTCGTTCTCTCAACAGACAAAGCTACGATGGGCTGGAAAAGAGGCTAAAGGAGGTCTTCAGTGAAAGGAGCAGCATCCTGCACCAGCTCTCCAAGACATCAAAGGAGCTGGACAGCATAAAAGACAACCTTCAGGTTGGAAATGTATTGTTTCTTGTTGAAAGATACAGCCATGTTGGAGGGCTTAGTTGGTCGTGGGGGTTTGAGCCGGAGGTAATCCTCTACTGTCAGCCATATGATGACCGGGAAACCCACGACTCTTCTCTCTTATTTTTCAATCAATCTGTTGTATAGCGACACGTTGCTATTAAATGTTAATACGCAAATGTTTTTTTTTCAATTTGGTGACCATTGTTTCGTATGTGATGCGTTACTGGAAAACTGAATAAGCAGTTCAGAGACGGAAAAGCAGATAAATTAGTGAGTGAATTTCTTTTTAGTATTAACGACACCAGCAGTTACAAAGAGCTTTAGAGAAGAACAGGAAGGATTGACAGGACATCCATTCACAAAAAATGCAAACACTGTTCCATCCAATTTCCAAAGCATTTATCTGTAAGCGTCAATAGTCTGCTTAAAGGAAAGCTACAGTTCGTCTTTGTCAAAGCTCCGGCTCTCGAATAGTAAGCAATATGTGGGGGGATGAGTGGAGAGGCCATCCCCTTTGTTAGCAAATTGACCAAAATGCATGCCCATTGTTATCCTGTCATTCCCCTTCTCCATCCCCTAGTAGCAGAGTGTTGTCTGCCTGAATCGTTGATCCTTATCAGACTGAGGTTTGTGCAAGTTATTATCTATGGCCCACACCATGGTTCTAAAATAGCCGTAGCCTAATCGTGCTGCGTATTGATAAATCCATGGTGCTGTCCGTGGTGCTGAAGTAGCAGACCCATTTGTAATTGACCTGTAGCTGAATCCTGCCCCTCGAACACAGACCGGCCAATCATAGCGAAGCATGGGCCAGCTCTGACCAGGGTGGAAAGTGAGTCGGCTGGATTTGGAGCTCGTCATGGTGTCACAGTGATACGTGCTACCGCGAGAAGTTGGAAGGAATTGTAATCTTCTAAAACATTGCGTTTTCACATAAAAACCTGTGGAGCTAACTTCGGCACACCATTAACTAGCGTTAGCACTATGCTAGCTACTGAAGGTATACTGAATGTCTACACATGCTGCCTTTGTTTTTTAATGATTTAATAAACAGTGAATAAAAACCTACCCTGCTTTAGAGGAACAGTGTTCTCTGTCTCAATATCCATGTGATGTAGTGGTTCACGTTTGCACTGTGATCTGTAAGCTTTAGCATTCTTCTTTATCTTTTTCACCTGTTTTCTCTGCTGAATCAGTTTGACATCCTTCAAACAAATACTGTAGACCCTTCTATCTGCTCCCTTCTCTCAGTTTCGTCTTGGATCTATAATATTGTAAAGCTTTAGCTCGAGTTGTTCATGGGGCAGTAAGTTGAGGTGAACAAAACGAAACAGGTCCATCCTGAAAACAATGTCAGCATAACATGGTGACCTGAGCTTCTTCTTTAACTAAAGTTAACTCTAACTTATGGCACGCTTTCACTCTTAAAGAATGTTGGAGCCGTTTTAAACCAGGATGTAAACAAACGTGTTGCTACAACAAGAGTTTTTAGAAATGAAAAATCACTAAAGATGTTTGTATACACCCACCCCTCACTTTGCATGCATATGTCTGCTGGTCTTTTTTAACTTTAATTTGCCCTAATTAAATTTGGCCTGAAACCAAAGATGCAATATGTTTTTCCCAACTCCTAGGGCAAGGCTGATTTTGCATAATGTAAGATTAAAAATAAGACATAAGATAGCTTTAGGTGGATGGTAATTAGGATATGTTATCCCTGTTGCAAAGGGAGATATCTGTTGGTTTGGAAAAACTCTGGTCTTCATCATTTTATGGAGTAATGTATTATATTAAATTATAGATACTATAAGTCTATAAGCATTTCACAAAACGATTATCTCAGTGCCAGATACATGCTACACATCACTTCCCACCAGTCAGTTTAGGTCAACTTCATTATGGCTCTATGCAATGACAAGAAATTAAAAGAAACTCAATTATACATTCATATATTTGAATCATTTAGTGTCTTCGCATTAGTGTATGCAACAATGATCTCGCAAAGTATGCCTCCCTCTTGGACATTCAGCAGTGTGAATATTCACCAGCCTCAAAATTTGTTTAAATTAAGGTTCACCTGTCAGAGGTGCAACAATTCTCGATGCATTACAATGTATTGCATCCTCAGTTTTCTATATTACTGCACATGGCTACTTTTGTATCAATGAATACAAGATTAACTCCCTTTGTATTTAGAAAGTGCCTTTAAATATTAGACAGTATGTAATAAAAGCTGCATCTTTTCAAGACCAGTATCTGTGTGACCTACCTCAGTACATAAACACTCCCCAAAAAAACTCACATTTGCTTCTGCAGTGTTTTACAAGTGTGCTGTTATCTACAAAAGTAAGGTTTTTAACACAGTAACGTGGACACTGAATGCTTAAGGCGTTTTAAACTGCATGGATTAGCAGACTTTTTCTGACTCGTAGCTCTTTGACTCTTACTTGGTTGAAGTAACTGCATCTCCTGACAGACTAACAACCCCGTTGACTTTCAGCCTGCATTTGTGTTTTTCTTCGGGGTTTTGTTTTGGCAGAGAGAGAGAAACAAGTAAGCGGAGTGCAGAGCAACATCACTCAGAGAAACAAGCGCGACAGAAAGTAAATGACAGAATAAAGACTCACACTGAGCTGAAATTACACCAAAACTCCAGACAATGTCACTGCATCGATGCAGAGTCTTGCGCGTCAGAATCGCGATGCATTCCAGGCTACATCCTCAGTAACATGTTTGTGTTTTGAAACAGGGTTTTAAAACAAGAACAATCTCCACACGGGCTTTTCAGAGTCAGAATCGTTTTAGAAATGATTTCCGTTCATACCGACATGCCTGAAAACGAATATCACGTGAATATTCACGTACACTGGGCATGCGGGTGTCTGTGTAAACAGGAAGTAGATCGGTTGCTTAATGACAAAAGAAATTACGAGTATTATTGTCCTCTTTAATAATAATAAAAGGTCAGGCTTAAGATCTTCCTCTAAAATCTTCAGTTTTATTTTTCAAACTTGCTTGGTACTGCAGGTCTCTCTCACACACACATCACATTTACTTTAAAAATGAACACTTACAAATCAAAGTTTTACTATATTACGGGTCAACACACATCTTTCACTTGTTTCTTTGCTTTCCTTGTTGTCTGTTGTCACACTTGTAGCTCTGCTGGTGGCTGAAGTCTGTGTTGCACTAGAGAGCATTTTTTGGTTTTGTTCGTTTACAGTTTTCTTGTGAACTTTACATTAGCTGTGCAGAACGAAATAAGCATTAATAAGAAATGGAAAGTCCTCAGTGTTTGCGTCCATCTCCCTCCTCAAAGCCGCAAACCGTGACTTCAAACGCCCTTTGCATAGTGATGATAATGCCGCTGGACACGGCGCTCCCAAATCGCTCCAATGACAGCTTGCTTCCTCCACATGTAGGCAGTCGTAGTATTATAAAATGCAGAATTTAACTGCACAACGGCAGCTAGTAAAGACAACAAGGTCAGCAATGCCTGTAATCTGTTATTCATGTTGAATCAAGTAATCAAGGCTATTGTTTGTTTTCTTCTTGCGGCGTGACGAATCAGGGAAGGACACATCATGACTGATGAGACCCAATCAAGTAGTGAACACGAGTGTCTACGTCATCGTTTTCAAAGGTCCCCTGAGAGCACCTGTCCACACTACCAAACAAGTTTTCAAACTTACCCGGCGTTGCTAGTGTTTTAAAACTTCGTCGTTTTAGATGCTCTAAACCTCCGGAGTAGCGTGGACACAAGGCATGAACGTAGCTAAACGGATACGTACTAGTGTGGATGTAGCCTCAGAATCGAGAAACTTCCGCTCCTCTACCATTTAGACATTGGGTGCCCTGCGTTTTTTGGGTTGGATGTTGTCAGGCTTCAGGGCATGTTTGTGGGCCAATAGAATTGTCAGAAAATCAATAAAAGTATATGCACGTGTGTGTGCGAGATATGTCCCATGTGTCAGTAAAAAAAAGCTCCCGCGGACTATCATCCTCCCCAGGGGCAGGCTTTGATGTTGATTCACTCCAGGCTAGCTAGGTTGGCTTCTATCTCCGCCCTGCGCCAGCATGCTGGCGCAGGGCGGAGGTTGAGTTAGATCTGGAAAAGTGTGTTGTGGAACAAATCTATTCTTCAGGGGAAAAACATTCCCCTGTGGAGAATCAAATGAAAAATCTCCAGTTATTATTTACCACCTGAAATGTTTATATACATATACACAAAATATATATATATATATATACAGTTCCAAGCTGTTTTATTTTTCTAACTTCAGGGTTGTAAAGTGAATATGCATTCTCTATCGTCGAGACGTGCTGTTGTTGCCTTTCTCTTCTCTGCCTCTTCAACATAAATGAACATGAAGTGAATTGAGGGACTCCTGAGAGCTTATTTCCATAAGTGTGCTGTTAATTGCCACAGATTTCACCTTCAAGCGCAATTTAAAAGAGACACTTTCTCTCCCTTTGAGTCCACATTTTCTTAGAAGTCTGGAAATTTCTGTTCAGCTCATAACAAATTAAAATATCTTGGAGGTCTTGTAAGGCAATCAGAGACCTAACTAATCCATGATTACCCATCAGGCAGGTGTTTAGGCGCCAGTAGAACACAATCTGTATCCTCGTTAAGATTTTCAGTAGACATTCATCACCTGATTGTTGTGGCTATACATCGTTTTTTCAACACCATTTTACATCTGCTGCATCATACAATAATATCCACTTGAATAATCTTATGATTCTGGTGCTTTTGACTTTGCTATTCAATATTCTACATTTATAACTCACAAAGTTAACACCAAAGCTTTTGACTATTGCTCGGAGGAACCTTGAAAAGATGGGGGCATTTTGAAATGTCCGGTCCAAGGAAAGGGTATAGAGTATATTTGTTTTCTCTTGTCTGTTGTGGGTGCTTTGAAGTTATTCTCATTTTGAGTGTCTTCTGCTCTCTTTTAGTCGCTGAAAAATGATGACTCAGTGGCCAAGAAGGATGTGCAGAGGATTCTGGAGCTCAGCCACAAACAGAGGTAAAGTGAAGCGTCGGGGACGACTTACTCTTGAGCTACCAACAGTATCGCGCTGCTCACGCATGTCATGAAGAATGTAGGTTCGGAACTTATGATAACCAGAATCAATTTTGGCTGATGAATAATTCAAATTTAAGGCATGTGATGTTCACAATCATCACCATCAATTAAGTGTTATGTAAGCATTTAATTACAAGTACTACATACAGTATTAAAGCCTGGGAACTCTTTCCATGAAGTTGAAAAGTGGAGCAACTATTCCAGGCATGCCATAAAGAATATCTGTCTTCCATGCATTTTCCCAACACCCAATCATCGTTGTGGTTTTTATTCATTAATCTATTAATCGCGAATGCTAAACTCATTATTTTATTTGTTGGCTTGGTCTTATCTGCATCCAAATTTGGCCAAAAAACTGCAAAAAACCCGCACTTCGAGTTTCAGATATGATGTGGACAGGCTTATAGATTGAATACGTTGATTGAAGTGTGATTTATTCGTACAAATAATTTGCGTTTGGTCCGAAAGACCTTGAGTCATAGCAACAGGAACCAAAGCTTAGGGGAGTTAAAGTATTTTGAGACGTCCGTTCTACCTTTGTCCCTATTGGATCACAGCACTTGTGCAATAGCAAGAAGCTACAGACCTTTAAACATTGTCTCACTCACTTACTATTACTGCTGCTGGTTATTCCAAGGTGTTGCCCTGTTTTGCTTCTACATGGCCGTATACACAGGAGTAGGCGGATAATACGTAATCCAGTCATAAATCCTTTTTTGTACTCAAAAAAATAATACGCCTGTCTGCTTTTGGTGAAAAAGCATCCGTGATTTAGTGCTTTATCTTTTTGCAAGAGGGCTGGAAAAGTGTTTACCTAAAGTGCTTCACCAGTTAGGATTGTCTGATTAATGCTGTGTGTAATGGGATTAATGATTAGGAGTCATTTGTGGGCTTCATGCTCTCTGAAATGTCAGCCTGATTGAAGTCCAGCCTTCTGTGGGCAATATCTTGATAGCCAATCAATAGCCTATCACCAGTGCACAGCAGCTCTCACATGTCATCCGGCTAAAAACCATAAAGCAGCAGCTTGGCTCAATGTTGCCTACCTAGCATTTGTCAGCTGCAATCTTCTCAAAGTGTTATTAATCCAACTTTGGAGTTCCACACCTGCCAAGTGTGATTACTAGCCGTCTCCATCATGGTGGATGCAGACAGGTGATTCATTGCAAGTCATTTATTTTTGACAACTCTTAACAGCAGTTTGATTGCTTTCTGAAAATAATTTTGCCACCGACTGTAATGCAACGGAAATGTTTACAAAACGGACCAGATACAGACGGTAGAAAACGTAAGCCTTTTAAAATAGTAACAATTCGTCTGACTGTGAAATAACCTGCCGTCTACCTTGTTGCACTCACCGGTCCTATGGTATCCCTTTGTGCTTTCAGGGTATATGTCAATATCACATTTCCCGTGCCCCTTTCTGACAGTGCGGTCAGTTTTGATCCTGTTTATACAAAACATTTCCAAGCCTTGGATGCAGGAGATGAGAATATAAATGAAATGCCAAAGCAGTGGTGGTTGGCTGGTCGCTGTGAACAAAAATGTTTGCTGTGTTGAATTGATGCCAAGAGACAATGCCATCGGCATATCAAGTATGAACGTATGTGGCTGTTGAGCGGCGAGATCCTTTCCGTACAGACTTCGGCCGCCTGGCTTCACCACCGCTGGACTACGACAATGTCGTGTACCTTTAAACTCACGGCCATGCATGGAGACGGTAAATAGAATGTTACCTCTAATTGATCCGGGCTGCCTTGTGATGTGATTCCAACAAGCGTTTTTTTTTTAACCACTGACCCACATCACTTGCCCACTTGATTCATAATTCAGTCTGCATCGCTGTTATCTGTGCACGGGGGCATCAAACAGTACTGAAATACCCGTCGCATACCAATGCATTAACATTTATGTTAACCGCATAAAGAATGCAGCGCCAGTCTTCATACAGCATGCATAAAATCAGTGTGGAGCGCTCCAACTGCTCATATGCTGCTACATAATGCCACGTAATGAATACTGTAGTGCACACGATGTTTTCTTTATACATCTCCTTATTGACCTATAAGGAAAATATTTACCAATACCTGTAGCATTTTCCCTTTCTGATGTTTGCCTCGGTGTGTGTTTGTTAAACCGTAGCTTATCTTCGGAACAGCCAGCCGAACATCTGAAGAATAATTGGCTGCAGCTGAACTGGTGAATTCAAACAGGGAGAGATTAATAGGTTTTTGTGAGGAAAGAATCAATGCAAAAAAACAAATGCTGTGACACCACAGAGGAGGAAATGTGACGAAAGACAAATGTTTGAATGCGTTTCAAAATGTTATCAAAAGCAAGTATTGTCCTCTTGTTAGTTGGGCTACAAACATTCAACAGATACATCCTATTTCACCCTCTAATTGCATTGCCAATAAGGTGGTAATGTTTGCATTATTGCATCATTTATTCCTGTTGTGAAAAAGTAACACCAACAGTTGATGCTAAAACAATTATGTCCCAAAGAAAGCGTGTGCTTCTTGATTCTTGAATTTGTGAAACTTGAAATCACAGTTTGTATTCAACATATTTGATGACAAAACTGCCTCGTATGATTGCAAATGTCACTCATGCAAAGATCTTTGTGATTAAATCACTGTTTACTCTGTTTGCGCACTTGTGAATATATTCATGCATCTTTCTTTTTGCACACCCCATAACATTTGTCTGACTGCTCTAAAACATCATGACCTCAATTTACACCAATACAAGCAGGGGACAACATGTAAAATGCTGTTTTTTTCCCCTTTATTCAAACAGGAGTAAACAGAATATACTATTGTGAAAATTGCTTTAGACAAATAAGTTTCTGTGCAAAATGGCTCTGACCAGTGGTATATTTAAGAGCCATTTTGGCAGAGCGGTGGGGGCCTCTGAGAGTGTGAGGACGATGTGCTAACCGAGTGTTTCTCACTTTCCTCCCACTTGACAGAGAGGAGATGAAGTCCCTCCAGGCAGCCTTGCAGAAGCAGCTGGATGAGGCAAATGAGAGAGCGGAGAAGCAGCAAGCCACGGTAAGACAGAGCTGACCTGACCATCAACATCCGGTCTCCTCTAACCAGCCCCGTCACCTGTCACACAGGCCCCTCAGTGAGCCACGCTCATTACCCAGCAGCCAGCTCTCTCGCCTCCTCGCCACACCAGTTAATTGAAACGCTTTGTGTCCACACCCCAACTCAAAAATTAATGATGCGACAAATACCTAACAGCATGTCCTTATCGAGCCATCTCTCCATCAACAGTATCTACCTTTCCATCTATCCAGCTGCTGTCCGATAGGCACCCTGCCTTTAATTACGCTCAACACGGGTATCTTAAACACTATCTGGCAAATGAAATTCAATTAATCACTTGGTGTATATCATCTCAGAAAACTGTGAAAATGTCCAAGATGATGTATTGAAATTGCTTATTTTATCAAAGGAATGGCATTGCGAGGAAGCAGCTTGGATTCATGTTTACTTCCTGTCAGCTTATGTCTTTCACATACGCTGCATCAGCAAATAAACTGGGACACATTTGTCATGTTTACATTTACAACTGTGAAGTGGTCGACAGCATAAAAAACAGCAAATGCAAACATTCACGTAGCTGGAACAAGAAGTGATATTTTGGCGTTTTTACATGATGACTATTATGATCATTGGATTATTGAGATAGCTGATGATTAGTTTTCGGTTGATCAACAAATTAATGAACCAACTAATCATCTCAGCTCCAGTAATTTCAATTTTAAAAATTGGCAAAATTAAACTTTTGTTTAATGCACAAAAAAAATCGAATCTTGAATAAAATCATCGTGTATGCAAATGATACTCTGCTCATACAGTGATTATAAAGACCTAACCGAGGCCTTTAAGGTTAAGTTGCATGATGTGTAAATCCACCTCGATGGCAAATTAGAGTATATTGATGAGTTGAAAGCTGTGTGTCTTTTTAAGAGGCTTTGAGCTGTAACAAACAAATTCAATTACCGCTTTATCTTCCTGACTCAGCATTTTTCACGGTCACAGGATAGAAAATGGGAAGAGGCATTCAATGTCAGCAGAAAACGTTACCTTTGCTCACTCTAGTAATTGTAACAAAAATAATTCATTAATGCCTTTTGTTCAATTTACACAGTCTGCTGTAATTAGAATCACTTTAACCTCTAATTAGTTCAGAGTAAGACTGCTGCTCTGGCCCCAGTGCTCAGAACCGTGGACACTGAAACGAGTGGATATCAGACAACAGAAACAACAAATTATTAATCTGGTGATGATAAAGTGTGTCTGTTCATCTGAAACACATTTTGCTTTTGTGTCTAATCATTTTACCAATGAGCCACACATGTTGATATCAAATGGATCAATCCGTTGCGAATTAGATAATTTGACTGTGGACTCGTATCTGTTGAGGTGAAAGCTGATGAAAATGTAAATGAATACAATCAAACCTAAGAAATGAAATGACTTTAAAAGATACTGCTCCGGAAAATGTAGCTTTGCAAAAGTCTATCCTTCAGTGGACAAACATTCACATCAGCTTGTATGTTACTTGTAATGTCGTCTGCTGTATTAACTGAACTCCTCTTGTCCACCAAACTTCTGCTGGTATCAACAGAACCTCATTTAAAATGCATTGTAGCTAGTCTGTGGAGATGCTGTGCTGGAAGTTGTGTTTATGCATGTGCTCTCTTACTGTATTGTCCCACTTTTCTATCCTCATGTTATTCAGAGAGACCACCTCTAGTTCTGCAACCAAACTCCTTATCAACCAATCAGCATGAAGCCTGTCTGGCAGCACTGACGGCTACAGTGCTGCTGGTGGGGTTTCTTTCTGGGATTTCTAATATATACTGATGCAAAGCTTTTCCTGCAGGTTAAATGAGCACAGTGACATTACGATCCACAATCAAACAATCCGCACTATGCGAAATAACATTTCAAGTGACATTCTTGCCATTTTGCTAAGACCAGTGACAAATCAGTTGCTGGGTTTTATAGTTTGCGTTTGACATTTATGCTCTGTTAAATGATATTTATCACCCTTGCTGAGATTGAAGATTAAAAAGAACACCTCGGCAGGATGCTAATGCCACACACGTCCAATAGAACAATGAAATACTGTATCTGGTTCAGAGTCCTCGTGTCCACATAAAACTGAGTGGGAAGCTTTCAAAAACCCCAGAATGAATCAACACTATCAACGTTACAAGCAACTTGCTTGCAAAAATAGTTTTTAAAATATTTATTGCAGCTTCTGATGTGTAGAAACCACCAAAAGCACACAAAGCAGACGACTAAGAAGCGGTTGAGGATGCCGCGAGGTGTGGGCAATGAGATTCAAGCCCATCTCTATTTCAGACAGCATTCTTCATGAGGAAGATCATTTTCTGCTGAGAATGTGTTCGGTGATGTCTGCACATCAGAAGCTGTGGTAAATATTTTCATTTATGCAAGCAGGGGCCTCTCCAACTTCTTGGTTTACAATCCTGCATTGAAAAAGAAGAAATACTGCAAATATGAAATCAATTATTATAGATGTTTAGAGCCTGTGATTTGACATCTTCATATTGCACCGAAATACGTCAAATGACCACAACGTATTAACAGCGCATTACGTGGTGGTGGCAGCACAGAAACAATTTAACGTTAAGGCAACAACACTACTTTGTTAAGTTTAGGGGAGAAAATATCATGGTTTGGGTTAAAATAACTACGCAAAAGTCTCCTGGGTGAAAGTCCTGCGTTTGACCAATCCGTCCACTGTGACCTCAGCGACGTAGGATGCTAGTTGACTTTCCATCGGCATTGCTGGGGCTGACGGATCATTTTGAACACATTACGTGCCGCCACTAGATAATTGACTTTTAAGAGGTCGTGGCCATTTCTGTGAGATCAGACAAAAATGGTTTCAGTCCAGATCAAATATCTAGACAACTACTGAATGTAGTATCATTACATTTGGTTCAGTTATGGTGGTCCCCCTTTTTCCTCTAGCATAAGGAGACCATAACTTCAACCCCACAAGCCGGAGCACTTAAGTGTTCCACACGTTCATACACACGCACATGTATTTGTCCGTCCATGTACTATTGCAGTTTGTGCAGAATGCAACATTTTCATTGCCGGGTACTTTAATAAGTGAAGCAAGCTTACATGCTAAATCAAGGTGGTGAGCGTTAGCTGCTGCTCTTTGTAGACTCTTTGTTTTGTTGTCTGACAAATTGTTAATCGTTATTAAGACTGTTCCAGATAGAGTTCTGGAGAATTAATTAACAGATAAATATCTACGCTTCGTGGAGCCCAGCTCAACAGTCCCACTAACTTTCATTCTTAACATTTCAAAATCCATGAAATGATTAAAAACAATAGTTGCATTCAGCCCACTGAACTAACAATGTTTAGAGGCTGTTGTTATGTTGCACCTCTCTTTTACTCCAAATGCTGCACCGGGATGTGTTTTTTTGAAAGCACTCCCGGGGGATGTGGTGGTGACTGAAAGGTGCACACATGAACCTTGATGTTATCATGCTGTGCTTGGGGATGTGAGTCAACTGGTGAGGCTCAGTTTACAGTTCCCCCCGGCACATCATTTGTATGAGGTCACCAGCCCCATGAATCGTTTCCTCTTTCTTGTCCTCCGGTCTATCTTGATGACCTCACTCAAGGACACGGAGTGCTTAAAAACCGTCTTTTTCCAGAATAAAAGACAGAAAGGAAGACAACACCTCGGCCTATCTATCCCTCCCACATACTGGCAATTCATGCTTTCCAACATACGGGGTAAGCCCATGGCAGCAGTTTGCCATCTGCAGTTGCTGTTTGAACCTCTGTCTGGCTGCTGAACACAAGCCACAGGCCAGCACCAGTAAGACATGCTGAGCTCACGATAAAAAAGGACTGCAATAAACAAAGATATCACTCTGACATGATAAGCATATGGGCTATTAAATCGGGCACACAGCGGGAAGTATGTAGTCGCTCATTGCAGGAATAAATGCCTCGGCGTATCATATTTGCTGCAGTTAAAGAACCTCGGATGAAACATTTCGGGACACTTGTTATGCTGAACTAACTTTGTGCGACACGAGAGAAATATAATATGTGACAGAGGTTTTTTTTTATCATCTCGATGGGTGACAAAACGAAAACTGTGTTTTTAAATTTCACTTCAGCAAAGGGCTTCTGTGGCGCCGTCAGTTTACAGGGAACCGTGTTCATTTATGGAAGGAGCCTCAGTGTATTGTGTAAACTCACCAGCGCTGCTCATACTGGTGAAATTAAAGACAATAAATCAGATTGCACTAGTTTGATCACAAGCATTCAGTACACGAAGCTAAAATACTCTTTTATTCAATTACTAATTAGCAAACTAGATGGTGCACGAGGACGTTCTTTATTTCTAAATGTTTCTATACTTTTTTTTATCATCGGAAGAAGTGACAGTGACTGAACATGACCTTTGATGACATCATGCCCTCTGCTTGGGGGTGTGTGTGTGTGTGTGTCAACCGGTGTGCTCTAGTTTATAGTTTCCCAGGGTGCTTTGCTAAAAGACAAAAGAAAATGTGACTTTTAATTTACGTTTGCCATTTACTCCTGCTTGAGTAATGTTTACTACAAACTACAGTGCTCACCCATTTCTAAAGATGATATGTCTTCAGCAGTAACACATGGGCTGTGGGGTGATTGCAGCCATTAAAATGTTAAGTCCAACAATATAGAGGGACTGAAGGGCATTGTTGTTTTTGGTATTTTCGTGGGATTTAGTGATAATAGCAGACAAAGACAGACTATTGGCTTCTTTGTCCTTTGATAGTGGAGGCCTGTAAATCACATACTGACACAGATTTGTGTTTATCGCCATAATCACTTTCATGCAATGCCCTTAATTCCACATATACTGCCTAAACGGTTACGCTCAGAAACAAACAATAAAGCAGGGTATTCCACACGATCATGTTTCTTTTGTCTTTTCTGTCTTCAGATCAAATTTCTGAAAGTGGAGATGGAGAAAAAAACCAAAATCATCAAGGATTTACAGCAAGAGGTGAGTCATCAAAGTTTCATTTCAGGCTGGTTTCAACCCTGCATTCAGTGTTTGGCTTCATGAGGTATATATTTAACCATAAAGGAAGCATTTACTCTAATTCACTGATCAAGAACCCACTCCTCCTGCTTTGCCTACTTCCATTTCATTTAACGATTTTGTGTGTTTGCCAAATGCCTTCTGAAAGTCTCCAGAGACTTGGCCCGAGAGCTCGTTGCTTTCAATCAAAGGTGGGCATACGCTGGCGTGAATACATCTGTTTTACCCACTACTTTGAAAACACTGCAGGCGGTCTTTGATCATGATTGCGATCGCGACTGCGATGGTGAGAAATTGGTAGCTCTTCTCCTGCCTCTTCTGACGATGGAAGTCTATCTGCATGATTGTTGAACATCAGTGCAGGATAGTTCGTCGAAAAGATATTTTTTCTCTCTCTCTCTTTGATTCTGAGGGAGCTGACACCAAAGTCTGACATTTACCGCTGATGCCTTAGACAGCTGGAGGGAAAAAAAACCTCTACTGGCAAATACTATTGTAGGTGTACTGAAAATATGTGACACCACATTATCTTCCATTTGGCTTGTTATCTGTAGGAATTTAAAAAAAGGAATAAAATACAGCAACAAAAAAAACCTATTCAAACCAAAACAAGACCATTAAATGCAACACAGCTACATCAGCACCTGCTGCCTTTAAAGATGCTTTAAGTTGGATGTTTCCTTTGGGGGCTTCGGTTTGTCTGTCAGCTGTGTAACAGGGAAAAAATAGGGAAAGAAATAACAAAATGAAACCTCTGCAGACCAATCCTGTGTCAAATTAAATGAAATCATGCAGTGCCAGCCACTTAATTGATTTTTACTGAATTTGGTAGATAAGGAAGAGCCTTTACTCGGTTCAAGGTGTAAACGCAGAGAGCCTGCTTCTGAATGACGTGAGCTTTCTAAAGCGTTTTTTGACTCCACTCTCAGCAGAAATGCAAATGCAAATTTGAGCTCATTCTGACTGCATTCATTGAGTAAATAAGCTTTTGAGGTGATTAACTTGTCATCTGGAACCTTATTGACACGGCAAAATACTTCTAGTACCCTCATAATTTGCTGTAAAGCATTTTTCAAATAGCTGTATGAACTTATGAACACATGGTGCCTTGGGTATTATACAGATATTCCCAGCTGATTATAATTAAAATATAAAAAGGCCCATGATGCCATATTATGGTAACAGTGCTGTATGTTTTTTTTCTTGCTTTTTGAAATGCAGGCAGGTACATTAATAATTACAGCACAAGATCATGAGGAATGATGATGAAGAGATACTGAAAACTGCCTCGCCACGTTGCTCTCTGCTGCAGCGAGAAAACTGATTTTCGCCAGATGTTCGAATTAGTTTGAGGCCAAATTTGACTAAACTCTGCTTTGGTAACGTGATAAAGTGTCTCAAATGATGAACCAGATCATGACATAATGACATCAATTTAGGGTGATCAAACTGTTCAGAGAAGTACCCGCCATAATGCAGGTTTCTGTGGATTCATCAGACGTGTGTGTGAACATCACAGCACATCACAAAAGAGGATCAGATGAGTGGCATTTGTGTCGCGCCCTGCTGGGGGGATAATGTGATTTGTTTCAGTCAAAGTTGATCAAAAGTGAAGGATGAAATGAATTCATACCTGGAGATATAATAAAAAGGTTTATTTCTTAATTTGTGAGGTTTGATCTTTAATCCAGCAAAGGTCGGGAAAAATGTGTCTTTCCAAATGTTTTTTAATAAAGAAAGTAATTCAACATGTTTATTAGACCTCAAGGACACACACAGTGTGTTTTGGTGAGTAAAACGTGTCACCATGCAGATCCTGCTTCTTTTCCATCAGTACGGTACACGATGTACCATCACAACCACTCAGTCACTGCTCTTGTGATATATCCTGGCAACGGGTGTCACTGTAGATATCCACCAAAGAAATAGATCCAATGAACAGTAATAGTTTCTGAAGTAGAAAAGCCTTGAAACATGTTTCATTGCATTTAAAAAGCAATATCTCAAGAAGATATTTAATTTATATGAATGCTGGTGAATTTGTTCCTGCGTGCTTAACTCTGTAAGGGGTAATCAGAGGTAAATGTGGAGACGCTTCCACAATCAATCAAGTCATTTTCACAATAGGAGTTTGCACGTGTTGGTAATACTGCGAGGCAGATCGCTTTAAGTGACTAAATGACCCATAGAGGAGGCCATGATTTGACTTTGTAATGAACAATTAGGGATTTCTTTAGTATTAAACAACGTCTTGATCTGGAAATAGAACAGGTACCAAGACGCTGACAGGGAGGCATGAAAACGGTCTTTGCTGTTTGGTTTTCTGCTAAACCTCATTTCCATAAGTCAGCCATCGGTGTACACACTGATCTTGCCAAAACTAAGAGCTGGCGAATAGCGTAGCCGTCAGTTTGACCGGAATTAGATTTAACTGAAAATCGAGAAAACAATCATCAGTTTTGTGGTGGAATTGCCACGTAAATGCTTTTGCGCACCAAGTGAAGTAGCATTGAGGTTCGTTACTGAGATCTACTCTGCTGGCGGGAAGACGAGGCAAAGAGCTGGAGTACAAAGGGAAGCACCTGCAGAGACTCAATGCTCCCCTCTAATACCAGTGCTTCATTGTTGACATTTCGAGGTTCGCCTTCCTCTATTCCAGATCTACATATCTTGAACTTTCTAGGTCTGAGGGCCTTTATGAAAATAATCACATATGGGTCATCCGTGGTCAAGAGAAGTCTGAACTTCCCAGACATCTGTGACACTCTGGCATTTAAGTCACGGCTACACGCAATGGATCCCGAGAAGCATTCCCCTGCATCTATTGCACTCGTTGAGTAATAGAACATTTCTTGCGTGCAGAAACTCAAAGGTCAAAAGTGTTTAAGCATTATCATTTTGCTGCTGCAGAGTCCACTCTCTGCAGTACGCTCTCAACTCTGCACCGCAGAAAGGGACACATCTGACAAAACCCTTGCATCATGACATACATTATATACAAGCAATGCTGCATCCCTGTTGGTAGGTAACTGTACATTGGTAGTTTTCAATGATGTTTGATACTAATCATTTATTTCTATCTGTTATAATTCAACTCTTAAAAGGAAATTAAAACTTTGTGCATTTTTTTTCCAAGGCCATAATGAACAAAGCAGTATGTTGTCGACGGTGTGAATAATATGGCCCGTCGTGTTCCAATTAGAGATACAGTGCACTCCTTGCGACCGGCTCAAATAAAAAATAGTATTTCCTTGAATATTAACATGTCTGAAAGCATAGATTATTTCATGTTAATCTTGAACCTAAGAATATTTCACACATAGCTTCCATCATATTCGATAGTCTGGTACTGATACGAGAGCCCTGAAGTAAATCTAAACGGTTTTAACGTTCAGCTTTTTTATGCTATTTTAGAGAGCTGATTGGACTCCATGATTATTTCTGCAGGCTGCAGTTTACTGCATTATACTGGAGACGTGTTTCTAATATTTCGTCAACCACATTTGTATCGATAAAGGTTGACGAAATATTACAAACCTCTCTCAGTTCAACAGAAATGATAGAAACTATACATCACAAGCTTAATGACGGCAGGATTTACTGCAGAGCCTGTTGCGTGAGACTGCATTGACTTAGTGTATAAACCGCCACTCCCAGCTAAAGCGCGAGTATACATCCTGTATTGTTCTAATGTGATACCATTACTCAGACTTGTGATTCTGTGGCCATGTAATGTGTACAAAAATTCCTGATCGAGCTGAAATGAACACTTGTAAAGCTAAGCATTCCCTTTGTTTACACCGGCATTCGGAATGTGTTTTTTATTTGCACATCACAGTGAACTGTGCGGTGGTGTCAGCGGGGATGCTTTATGGCTGCCATCCACTGTGAAGTCATTATCAATGATTTGCTTTCAGGGCTTATTATGAGTATTTTGACGGAGGATGATTTACAGACCGACTTGGATCCCGCTGGGATTCATCAGGTTCTCACAGAGCATTGTAATAGACAGCTTTGCCACACACTCGGCTCCTTGCTGCTGATGCTGATGTTTTTCCGTCCAAAACGGCTTCCCGTCAGTGTCTCCTGCCTTTCATGTCTTCCTGATGTAATTTCTCCCGCCTAAACGGCAGAAAGAAATCATGCATCGGGGCATTTACTGGATCTCTCAGTGAGAAGAAAAGTGAGAAGAAACCGAACTAGGCCGAAAACGGCATCATTATGTTTATTAAACAGGACAAAGACAAAACAGATGAAACCACTGAAGTTAATAGAGGTTTAATATCATAGTCTAGCAAGTCATGTAGTTGTTGTTTTTATTAGAATTACCACTGATTGATGGTATGAAGTTACTTGTTCATGATCTTCAGAAAGTGCTAAATTGCAAACATTAATTTCAAAATCTTCAGTTTTATTGTTATTTAAAGTGCAACAGAGGCACAAATAAAATTAGAAAATGGTAGGATGTACTCTAATTGTGCATAACACATTAAATCCATCTGTGACTGTTCTTATAGTGGGGCAGTAAATGCCTGAATGTTCTGTCTTGTGAAAAAACGAACTGATAATAATGACCCATTGTCTCGTTATATCTCCACACGATGCATTAAGCTGCATGGCATTTCTGGCTTGGGGAATAAATGGCCTCATTGCTCCTCCACCACTATATTACTCAACATCTGAATAGTCACTGCATTATTAACACAAAGACGTGCCCAACGCCATCGAGACCCCATCAGAACTAATTCCACACATATGATCACTGACATGCATTGAGAGCAAAAGTGTGCTGACAACACTGGAGGGGTTAAGTGAAATAGAGCGCGGCGGGTGACGGTATGCCATGTCATTCCTTTGCACTGAGCAGACAGGGTGAAGTACAGCTTGATCGATTGCGCTCACGTATCGGAGACAGCAGGCCCGACTTGTTACACAACAGCGACGGTGGACTTGACACCCGG